AACAGATAAAAAAGAATTTTTCTTATTATCTTTCTAGATTATCTGACCTCTTTTCGTTTATTTACACTTTGATACACTTTGTTTATAAAATCAAAGGGTGAAGATACACGTTTTTCACATAAACAAAATGTACAAAAACATTTTACTTCAGATTTCTATTAGAAACACTGGTGTTATGTATGAAGTTGTTACACTCTGGATATGTGAAGAAGCGAATAAAGATCATTGCCATGAGTGGTTGTAAGCTACTCCATCTCTATCCAGTTTGTCGAAATACATCAACTAAACAGAATCCTTTATTTATCGCTACAACTCCTTTGATCACACGATGGTACTAGTGTCTTGTCTGTGGACAATATACAAGCCATTCCATTTATTTTCAAACAAAATACAAATCTTTTTCTTTTACTTTTAAGCAGTTATTGCAAAAAATGTTCGATATGGGATCCATGGGCATAGTAAATTAACCTACAACGCTTTGCCCAACTTCCCAAAGCGTTGTCGATAATGTCTTGCTCAAGGTTTCCCCACTCAACTTTTCTAGCATTTTTTAGTCCTTTCAATGTTGGCACTTTGTGCTTTCGTACTCGTTCTTTCATAATCGCCCATATTGAATAGTCCATTGCTGCAGCATCAGAACTCGTAGGTAACCAGTCAAGCGGCATTATAACATTAATGTTATGTTCCTTCATATAAGAACTTGTATACTTTGTGACATGACCAGGAGCACTGTCTTGATGCAGCACCATTTTCTTTTGCATATCACCAGGAAATAAACGAGGAATATCATATTCAATAAGTGGCTCTATGATGTATTCGATATAATATTTGCTGGTTATTGTATGGCTCCATGTTCAATAAAATATATTTGAGTTTTTCCATGTGAACTGACACCAGCCCAAACCATTACAGCTACATGATGTAAATCGTTTTATTCAATTTTTTTAATTTTTGCTGGTAGTTGATTACTTCTAACATAGTATATATATATATATATATACATATATATATATCTTATACCTTGACTCGAATCGAGATAAAACCATGCTTCATCAGTAGTTAGATAATTCTTATACTTTTCATTTGATAATCGTCGGTACATACGCCAAGCTCGAGATCGTCTCTTTTCAATAATAGCTGGATAAAGTCGATGTACTGGCCTTTTTTCACGACATCTTGCATGAATAATATTACGCATAGTACGAAACGTGGTACCAATACTAATGCGACTAGAGACCTGCGGGACAAACTTTGTCGTATCCCGAATTCCGTTTGTCCCGTTGACAAAAAAATGTTTAAATGTTGCGTAGTTCCGTCAAAGAAAACAAAAGACCTCTTCTGCCTGATCAATAGGAAAAAAGAAGAGTGAAAATTTGTCAAACGAAATTGGTCGAGAAATTTATAGATAAAAATTAATTTGTTTTTATCAAAAATAGGAACTGGTTCTTTGAACCCTACTCGAAGTAAAGAAGATATTTGAGAAAAATAGTGCACTCCTGTTTCCATAGTATATTAACTTTTAATATAACCGACGAAGAATATTTTTATCTAATCATTATTAGATCAGTCAAACCGAGCTTTTTGCGATAGATGCTATTTAAAATGTATTAGTTTATTTGAGGTAATATACATTTATAATACCTTCGATATATCTGGCACATATGTACTCTCTTTTATATCAACAATTATCCCAGGAGGATCATCCTGCCGTCTGATAGGCTATCGGAAACGGCCTGAAACGGCTATAAAACGACATAAAGCGGCATTAATTTTCACTCTATTGCGCCGTAATCCGTCAGCTCGTTTTACGAACCGTTTTTTTTTGCTAGAAAACGGCCATCTCTTTTAACACTATTTTCTTCGTTTTCCGAGCTGACGGAAAACGGCGCCGTTTTTCAACGTTTTACATCGTTTTTATGCCGTTTCAGGCCGTTTACGGGTCGTTTTCTTTCACATGGGTAGTCTATCATTGTGTGAAAATTCTTTTTTTTTGTCATTATTATCAACTACAAGTTCTACTTAGAAAGTTTTTTTTTAAATTAAATTAGACTAATTTTCGGATGAAACAATTAACCTTGATCAATTTTCTTATGTACCAATTAACATCGATCAATTTTTGTATCGATTAATTTTCATACACTCGGACAAGCACATACACATTTACGCACAGATAAAATTAATAGTTTGCTATTTATTAAGAGAAATATGCGAGTTTTAAATGAAACTTATTCTTTAGTTGTTGAAATGTGTAAAGAAAGAAAACTCAACTGACTCAACACCTTCTGTAACATCAGAAAAGAATTAAATTGACGACAGGAAGTCAATAATTATATGAAGAAACAGCTGAAAAAGATAATGACGATGAACAGTTTTCAGTAAATCTTCTAATATTTCTTTTTTTCTGCTTTCCATTTAAACATTATAAGACATTTATTATAAATAAAAAGTTTAAAGTACATCACACGTTTTTATGTAGTTTTAAAAATTCTGGACATTGGATTTTTTCGAATTGTCCCGATCCCGTATGTCCCGCAGGACTCTAAATGTGACACCTTGCAGCCATTAAAGAAACAGTTGGGGGATTTTCTTGATTAATTTATGATGTAATACGACGAAGTATGGAAGGTGTTGCTATATGACGACGACGATGAAACTTTGGTTTTTCACTATTCAATAAGCATAATTGCCGTTGTTTTTCAACCTTATTAGCAATACGACTGATAGCGCTTTTTGGTACACTCAAATTCATTCGTGCTAGTTCTTGCTGGATCACATAGTATGAATACTTTTTGGCCAAAATATATTTGACGATACCTTTGATATTATCCGATATTTTATTTCGAGGCATTGTTTTATCTAAAATATAAATAACATTAGAACATATCTAGCTTTAGTAGGATAAACTGAAATAAGAATCATAAAATTTATATAATTTATTGGTGAAAAAATGAGCCAGTAAAATCGTTTCAAAATAAATGGAATCGCCTGTAGAGAGTAAATATGCATTCGTCTAGGATGCGAGCCAAGAATTAGTTTTATTAAAGAAATAAGGTTAACATTTAAAAGATTTTATGAATCAGAGATATTTGGTACGCGTTTCGTTCTGGAGATCATGGAATATTCATAATTCAATCTAGAGCTTTTGAAAATGACACCTGATAGTATGCTGTACATTGTTAATTTATGTTGCATAGATTTTAATTGAATAAATAGAAGGCTTGCCATGGAATAGTACTCATCTCGGTAACTACAAGCCATGGTTTAATAACCCAAGTGAATGAATCCAATACCGAATCCGATCGGATCTTATAAAATCCGACGAGCCGACAAAGTCCCATGAACCCAGGTCGTGACGGTACGGCTGAAAATGACTGGAAAACACGGGAAATCGCTGGAAGGTGGAAGCAGTATTTCGGTCAACTTTCAGTGCTTTCCAGGAAGAACTGACAGTAAATCATCGGAAAAACTTCGAAAATTTTCCGACCGGAATACTGCTTCCACGTTCCAGCGACTTCCCGTGTTTTTCTCCGGAATCCGGGTTGAGGAACTACTAACGGATCCCTAGTGTTGGAATTCGGTGAACATCCAACCAAATCTAACAACCGAATTCGATAGGAATTTCAGGAGTTGGATTCCAACGAAGTTCCTAAAGAAACCTATCGGGTTTTGCCTGGTTCCTGCAATAATCGATCGGATTATTCGTCCTGGGAAATGGAAGTTACTTCATAATCCTATGTACGAATTATACTGTAACATAGCTTTCAAGATCATCAAAAGAAAATCACTATTCACACATAAATGTCTTTATTAGACTTCATATCATCTAATTTATTCACTGAGTTGTACTGGAATAGATTGGATCAAATCCTTTGAGATCTCTACTATCAGTTACTAAGTGGCCCAATCAGTATTGATAGAAACGCGAAAAGAAGTTGCGAGTTTCGTTTTGAATATTGTCTCCATTTAGTAAAACACAAAAACTTCACATTCACTATACTAGGGTTTTGGTGTTCAAGTTTACAACGAACAATTAAAAACGATGAGTCAGATGAATTTATATCCTTCGAGTAACAATTGAAAACTGTTTGAACAATAAAATGGTGTAATACATAGATGCAATTTTCATTACAAGATGTTTAGTTTGAAATCTTTCTATCATGCATTTTTGTTATCACAGTAAATTGTATTCATCATCTTTCTTTTGCATTCTGTTTTCGTCTTCAGCATTTTCTTATCAATTGCTTTTCACGTTATTCAACATTAGTTTATTTTTTCAATTCGATCCGAAAAATGAAATGATGTCACACCGTTCATCATAAACAGCAGCCATATTATTTACATATAAAATCCAAATAGTACATACGCAAAAGAAAAAGAAAAACGAATTTTGAAAATATGTATGAGATGAATGCTATCAAAATATTTGAATACACATCATTATATTCGATTTCATCAAAACTTGAGCAGGTATATTCTATTTGTGCAGGTACATAATATCATGAGACATTCAAAGGATAGATTGTCAATAAAAGCTGTTTCTTGTTCTACAGAGTTTACTGTCAAATTGACAGAAGAAAGTGAACATAGTCCACATATTATTACGAGATCGATTTACAAAGTTTTTTTAGTGTAATTTTCATTCAATAGTTAAAAATTTTGAGTGAAATTTTCATCATGCAACGAAACGGAATGATGTAAAATTCCATGTAATAAGACACGCTGAATAAATAATTTAAGCCAAATTCTTTCTTAAATTGACTTTCTCGAAGTGAATAGTTGAGAAGCTGTATAGAGTTTAAATATATGCTAGACAACTTAGCGAGTAGAACCGTATGTACTTTAAGAATCACTCACACTCTCAAGAACTATTGATTGAGTCAACAATATGATTGACAGCAGCACATTGATCATACATAGTAATCGAGTACTAGTTCCAAGTTCTATTGTAGTATTTGCTACATTAAGAAGCGTTCATTCGCGATGAGTATCATCATAGTTCTCAATTTTCATCAGAGTTACTGTCAAACACTAGTATCTTTGAATAATATTCACCAATTGACAAGCTTTACTGGCTAAGACCTGTTAGTAAATATTCTGTACGAGTCGTAAAAAAATGTACCATCAGCAATTATTAAAAAAATGAATCAACGCTTATAATTGTTGCAAACATTTCATCTTACCCTCACTAATAGCTACGGATCTCATAATTATAGATTTTGACATCAAATAGGTTCCACGGTCAAATATCTTTTATTAAGAAATCTTTTCGTAGAAGCCTGCAATTACAACAAGAGGAGAGAAATCAGTTACTTTATCCGGTAACTGTTGGCATATCAGTAACCTCACTCGTATCTGTTGAACTTGGCCAAAAAATCGAATAGTACTTAGAAGCTTCCTAAAAGTTTCAATCAACATTTTGACAACTCCTATATTTTTCTTTACCTGATAATAGTAGAAAACATTTTATTCGTTCATTGATGCGAGCTTTAAATTGCCTTTTACAACATATTTATCCTGAAAAGACATCTACACAACAGCTTAACTCTAACGTAAATATAAGAAATGAAAATAAGAAATATTTTCAACATTTTACCCGATTCAGTTCCTTTACATGAGCACAATTACTTATTCTTATATTGTATTTCCTAACAGTATCATAAAATTATGATTGAATATTTTTATAGACATTTTCTTCAAGAATTGTCGCAAAATATTTCAAGTATCTAAAAATACCTATGATTGTAAATCAATCATAGTAAATATTAAGTGTCTGTTAGATAAAAAAAACGTAAATATTTGATGAATACCTTCAATAACATATGTATTGTAATAATCAAGGTTTTGTGGTTGTTGTTCATAGTTGTTGTCGTTTTTGTTCTTTATTCTAAACGTGTATCGTGTGTTAATGAAGGTGGTTTTTTTAACTTTAACTTTATTGCGGTATTTAGAATCTATTTATAAATTTTATCTTTGAAAAACCTTTCGTCAACGTAAGTTACATTTTTATACCGTGGTACTTGATCTCTGGCTATAATTTAGATTTCAGAAGATTTTAAGTCAGGGGATGCAGAGCGTTTTTGACGTAGAAAAGCACCGAAGTATATAAGAGTTGTCGTTAAATCTTTGAAGAACGTTTGACTGATACCGAAAATTTAGAAAAAAAGAGATTTTAATGACTCCTGCCTACCATAGTGAGGGTCTTGTTTTTGATAATGTTTGTAATATTTTTGCTAAATATCTTTAAAAATGATACAGATTTTTTCATTTTACAAAACTTATTTGCCAATTGGATTCAGAATAGCATTAACTGCTTTTTTCCACACTCTCTGTGAGATTTGGATCACTGCCTATCACATCACGGAGTGTTTTGAAAAGCCTTGCAATCTGTTAGTTCTCTCTAACGATTTCTGATACATGTATTAATGTATTGTATTGTTTTTTCTCGCAGTACTATGACCATATTAGTTATTCATATCCAAAATATTTTTAAAGTTCGTTTTTCCTGTTGTCTGATTTCCTCAAAAATAAACCCATTCAATCGAAACCCATCCCTTTAAATGCTATTTTTCGAGCTGTAGAAGGTTGTCCTACGTTATGTAAACAACCCATATTTATTCTTCATACCGAACACAGAAATAAAATCTGCAATGCTCTAAACGTGTGGTAATTTGAAACAAGCTTTTTAGCATTTGTAATCGATCGGCCCTGCTTTTTTCATATCATTTGTGATGGAAAAACACGGAAAACCGAAACACACCAATTAGTTTAGTCTCTAATTAGAAAAATAGTGAACTTATTAATGTTTGTAATGTGGAAAAGGGAGCCGCATAAATCTAGTATTTAAAATGACAATCACTATTTTCTTCAAAAATAAACGAGAGCGCTATAAAATCAGTTAAAAAATATTTTATTGCAAGTTCTAACTCTATGGCATGCATGTATAATATTTGGCCTAATAATTAATGAAGAAAGTTAAATTGAAGCATATTAAATAAGAAGATAATTAAGCAAGTTCTATGTAAAATAACCAGATCCAATAAATGCGGAGGTAGACAATCATGAAAGATATTTTGTTAGAAAATATGTAAAAATGAATGTCCGACTGATTTTCAATAGATAGCATTATATAGCCCTCTGGCTAACTGCCTAGACATACTTGTGTTAGTGTAATCATAATTTAAAAAAATAACACTTAACGTTAAAGTATTCAAATAAATTACAGCTTAAATAAATATATCTTATAATTTCCTCATTATTTGCAGCATTCATTATTTATTTGAAAATCTATGATAAAAACAATTCATATTAAAAAGATAATAACTGAATAAAGTTTTTCAAATTATTGCTAATAGCTATAGGAAAATGCGGTAAAAGATGCATAAATAATGTTTGTTACAGAACTGTATTTGACGCCTTGTATGATCTCAGAAGAATGATATATTTCTAGGAATATCTTCTCATCAGGACGAATAGAGAGAAAGTATAGTGCAGAAGATATTCTCTTCATAATTTCATCTACATATAAATAGGAAAAAACCTTTTGTTGCATATTATAATTAAATTAAATTCACTTTGAAAACATTAATTTTCTAGTCGGAAAACGTTTAGTAGTTAAATTCTACCTTGTTTTCGCTGATTTTTCAATGATTTATGAAAATCAAATGATATCATGGGATAATATCATATAGCACGTGTCTGCATATTAGCACATATCTATATTGTTGGGTATTGTTATTTATTTTCAAGCGCTTTTGAATAAAATGAACTAGTATAATTGAATTGTTTATTGGAGATGGAATTTTAATTTTGAATGAGAAATCTGTGAATATCAGTGATGAAAAGATTGAA